AACTCAGGACCTTGAGCTTGCTAGACAGGCACTTGTGCCACTGAGCTCTATTCCCAGCCCCAAAATGCTTCTCCTTCCCCTTCATTCATCAGATACCTCCATGAGCATTTGCCCTGTGACCGACGTGGCTCAGGAAGCTCAGGGTCCATTGGTGAATGAAGTGACGTCCTGCGTCCTCATCAAGGGTGCAGCGCTGCAATAAGTTAGAAGGTCACATCGCACCTCAGCAGGGGCAGAATGATGGGTCGGGAGGGAAAAAAATGCAGAGAAGCCCCTGCGGAATAGGGAGGGAGGGACGGGCAGAGGTGGGCAGTCTCAGAGTTGGCCTGGTTGAGGAAGCCATGCTTGGGTGAAGATTCCAAGGAGGTGACAAGGTTACACACAGCAGCTCCGCTTGCCCCGGGCAGGCTTGGCTCACGGCTGCTGTGTGATTATTACTCGTACTGCCTTTGCGTCTCCAGAGCACGCAGCTGTGCCTGGTGCATGGTGTGGTCGCCCTTCCTGGGAAGGAGTTCTGGAATGCAGAGTGAGAGGGACTGTGAAGTTTCCTGTGAGTACTGTGACACGCAACCACAGATTTAGTGACTCTGAACAACACATACTCGTTACCTTGTAGCCCTGGAGGCCTCGCGGCTCCACTATCATGCAGTGTCAGAGGCTTGGGTTCCCTCCCCAGGCTCTTGGGGAGAACAGGTCCAGCTTTCCACAGCCCCCAGGGGGTTGGGCCAGGGAATCACCTGGCGCTTGAGCCGGGGATCTAGCAGCTCAGGTGCTCATGCCTGGCCTCTCACCTCCTCCTCTGCCCTCTGTTTGGCTTTAAGGACTCCTGCAACTACTTGGACCTGTCTCCATCTCTATGAGCCCCGACCATCTCTGTCTTTTTTTCTTTTTTTTTTTTTGAAACAGGGTCTCACTACGTAGTTCAGGTTCGCCTTGAACTTGTGACAATCCTCCTGCCTCAGCCTCCCAAGTCCGACTTTACTTTTGTAAAGGTCTCTCTGGGGCTGTAGTGGGAACAGACCACAAGACGGAGCGGTCTAGGTCCTGCAGTCACAAAGACTGAGTTTCGAGCACATGGCACATCCTGTCTCCTTCCCCACCCCTCAGCTGGCCAGCTGTCCCTGGGAGACTCCTCGGTCACCATTAAGTATCTGGACTCCTTTGGAAGCCGCCATGAAGAACGCGAGGAGCATGTATCAGGAAGCACTGCTGCGAGGATTAAATGATATTCGCACCTCCGCCTGACTCTCCATCTTCATGTGGAACGTGCACCTTTCCTTTCCGGGGGTCAGTGACTTCCCATGGCTTTGATTCAGTTGCCCAATAAAAGCCTCCTGCTACTCACTGCCTGCTTCCAGAGTGACACGCCTCCACGGGTCAGGAAGAGCTTGTATTTTAGACCCAGAGTTGCACTATGTAGTTCAGGCTGGCCTTCAACTTGTGAGGCTTCTCCTGCCTCAGCCTCCTGAGTGCTGGGATGACAGGCGTGCACCACCAACCCTGCCAGTGCCTGTGCTTTGTGGATGGAGCAGCCTGAGTTGGTGGGAGCAGTTACCTGCATGGCTGGCGTCCCTTTCTGCAGATCTTGCAGCTGAGTCCCTCTTTGACCTGGATGTGGGTTCTTCCCAGCAGCTGTCTTCCACCGGTCTCCCTTGCACCTCAGATGCTTATGACAGAGACACCCAGCCAGCCAAGCCCCAGTGGTGATAGGTGAAGTCACAGGGAAGGGAGGCTGAGGCAGGAGGATCCCAAGTTTGAGCCCAGGCTTGGCAACTGAGCAACAGAACGCGTAAAAACTACAAGAAGTAGAAGAAGGCAAAGAGGAAATGCAAAAAGGAAAAGAACAATTTTTTTCCAAAACAACTCTGAGATTCCAGCTCTGTTCAGAAAGAATGACTATTACTAAAATATCAACCAACAACAAATGCTGGGCGGGCTATGGGGAAAAAGGAACCCTTCTCCACTGCTAGTGGGAGGGTAGACTGGTGCAAACCCTGTGGAAATCAGTGTGGAGAGTCCTCAGAAAACTAGGACTGGAGGTGCCATTTGACCCAGCCATTTCCCTTCTGGGTATTTCCCTAGAAGAATAAAAGCATTATATCACAGCGATATATGCTCACCCCATTTTTTACCAGCACAGTTTGTCATAGCTAAATCTTGGAAGGAGCCCAAATGCTCCTTAACCAATGAATGGATAAAAAGTGTGTGTGTGTTTTTTAAAAAAATATACAATCAAGTACTACTCAGTCATAAAGAAGGATCAACTTGAGACATTTATAAGTAAATGGATGAACCCTAAGACCATACTCTTAAGTGAAACATATCAAACACACATGTAAGTATTGCAGTCTCTGGTGTGAGAAACTGAAAGTGTAAATAAGGACCAAAACGTGCAATTGATATTGTGAAATAGGAAGAAATTGTTCAAAAGGAAAGGGGAACGGCAGAGGGGAGGGAAAAGAAAAAAATGAGAAAAAAAGGGTAAAATGGAAACAAAGCTTCTGTAAATAAGGAGGGGAAGGAGGGTTGAAGGGAGGAGCGGGGAATGGGAAAAGAAGAGAAATCGAGATACATCATGTACAGGTACCAGTTCCCTACGATGCCCGGTGTGGTGGCGCATGCTTGTAATTCCAGCCCTCGGGAGGCTGAGGCAGGAGGATTGCTGCAAGTTTGAGACCATCCTGGGCTACAAAGTGAGCTCAAGTCCAGCCTGAACTGCATAGCAAGACCTTGTCTCAAAAACACAAAAAACAAAAACAAAACAAACAAAACAAAAACACACACACGAAAAACAAGTTCCCTATGACGAATGTGAGTACTATATATATCTAAATGTACCAATAAACTTAATAATTTTTTTTAACAAAGAGTAAAATAATGTAAACAGGAAAAGAAGGGCTGGGGATGCAGCTCGGTGCCAAGGCCCTGGCTTGGGAAAAAAAACCACGCACACACACACACACACACACACACACACACCAAGGTGGTGTAGACAGAACAGAGGAAAGCGAAGTTGAGCCCCTTCCCCACCTGGATTCCCGGCTCTGCCTCTTTGGTTGCAAAGAAAGAAAGGGGCCGTGGGGGTGGCCCTAAAGTGGGAGGGGGACAGAGAGGCTGGGAGAGGCTGAGGGGTCACACGGTGCCCAGTGGAACCGGCTTCCATCTCCTGCGTGTATTTGTGAAAAACCTGACCAGCTTCTGGGCCAGCACCGTGACTCCTGGCAGGCGTTACAGACTGTAAAAGAAGCCCCTCCAGCTGTCTCTCTGCTTTTCTCCTCCCTAGTTTGCCTTCACAGCGTTTATTTTGCATCTAGGACCCGGGCTACTTTTATTTTAAAATGCGTTCATTTTTCCAATTAAAAGCAACAAAATGTATCACTGTGGGCAGAGTAAGATGTTTCAAGGCAGGCAGGCACAGTTGTGCCAGATGGGACTTGGCAACTACCGCGCTGGTACCAGGAGAAAAACACACTTACCACCTATCAATTTAAAAATTTTTAAAAAAAGAACCAAGTGCATTGATAGGTACCTGTCACCTCAGCTGCCTGGGGGGCAGAGGTAGGAAGATCTCCTGAGCTTGGGAGTTCGAGGTCAGCCTGGGCACGGTTTGTGCCTGTTTTTAAAACAACATAAGCCAGGTGTGGTGGCACACAACTGTAATCCCAGCACTCGGGAGGCTGAGGCAGGAGGATCGTCGCGAGTTCGAGACCAGCCTGGGCTACAAAGTGAGTTCAAGACCAGCCTGAACTGCATAGTGAGACCCTGTCTCAAGAAGACCAAAACAAAAAACAAAAAAAAAACCAACATAGACATAAAAAGTAAAATAATAAATAAAAATTCCGGGAAAAATGTGTAGCTATAACAAGGACCAGTTCCTTGCTTTGAGTATTCTGGTTAGTGAGTTACTGTATGTGCCTGACTTGAAGACAGAGCAGGAAGCTGCTATTTTAGACAGTAGTGGAAGGCTGGCTGCTTTGTTGTCTAAGGCAAATTAACAACCTTTAGAAAGATGTGTCCCACCACCACAAAGGCTTCACATGTGAGGAAAACTGCCGAGCTAGCAGGTTTCTGCCCAAGGATAGATCAAAACATTTCTTAGGAGCAAGATATCTTTCTTGGTTTCTTGTTTTGTTTTGTTTTCTTTGACACAGAGTCTTACTGGGTAGCTCAGGGTGGCCTTCAACTCACTCTGTGGCCCAGGCTGGCCTTCTTTGCCGGATGACAGGCATGCACCACCACAAGGAGATCCATAGTTTTTTCTCCTACTTTGCAAGTAGGGTCGGTGATACAGAGAACAGAGGGTGCTTGTATGCTTGGCAGGAAGCTCAGGAGGGCGAAGAAGCAGGAAGAAGGAGGTGTATGTAACTCACTCATGCCCAATGGCCTTGAGCCAAGGTGGGGCAGGTGAGTGTGGGACCAGCAGGCAGGGACACCAACCAGGCATGATTGCACGTGCCTGTTATCTCAGCACATGGTAGGCTGGGGCAGGAGGATCTCTGTGAATAAGTTTGAGGCCATAATGAGTTCATAGATTCTATCTAAAAGCAACAACAACAAAACTCAACATGACAGGAACGCATTTCTATACACTTTTAAATCTGTGGTTCTCTTTTTCTTTTTCCGGTACGGGGAATTGAACTCATGACCTTGCGCTTGCCGGGCAGGTGCTGTGCCGCTGAGCTAAATCCCCAGCCCCCTAAATCTGCGGTTCTCAATGGGGGTGGTTTCTCTTCTTTTGCCCAGGGGACGTTTGTCATGGTCTGAACGCAGCGTGGGTTATGGCAAGCCATGTTGCTGATGGCATTTAGTGCCAAGAGGTCAGAGATGCTACCGGGGGTCTTCCACTACCCAGGACAGCCCACTAAGCAAGTGCTACCCAGGCCCCAATGCCAGGGTGCCAAGCGTGACTTAAAGATGTGTTAATTAGCTAGAAGACACCCTTCACGGAGTCCCTCTGCCCGAGCTAAAGACAGAATTTCTCATGATTTCGCAGGTGGTTCTTGCAGAACCAGCTCCATATCCTTCCAGCTTCAGTTGCTGAAAATTCGGGCCTGCAAGCTGCCTCCCATACCAGGGGCCCTCGAATCTCTGAGAGTGGCCGGCAAAGAGGGACTTGGGATTGAGAGATGGGCCTTGGGGACAGTAGTAGCTTGAATGGACAGTCACCACCTCCACGCTGAGCCTGGCGACCTACAAATGGGGCAAGCACAGGCTACTAATACCCGTGGGGTCTTATGCAGCTCCCCTAACAGGAAAACTGGAAATCCTAGGTGCCTCCAAAGCTGAAACTTTTCAACATAATGCGAAATTCCACGCCATGAAACTTTATTTCGCACACAAAATTATTAAAATGCGTGTATAAAACCACCCTCGGGCTCTTTGTAGTAGGTGTCTGTGAAAGCTAAATGGATTTGGGTTCGGCTTCCTCCCCAAGGTAGCTCGTCAGGCAGATGTGCAGATATTCCGAAGTGTAGGAAAACCTGAAATCCAAAACAGACCTGGGAAAAACAGGCTGCCTGGGTGAATCCTGAAGCGCTGAGCCGGGTCCTCTAGAGGAGACAGAATGTTTCCTGACCTGAGGGCAGAGTGCTGGACTCCGGCCCTGAGGGGACGGCACTGCCCTGTGACCTTCAGCAGTGTCCCTGAGGGCTGCCCAGCACACCCCAGCCACCCCACCCTGTCTGTGACACCCCAAGGTCTCCAGACATTGCCTAATGTCCTCTGTGGGCCGATGACCGCAGGCTCAGGGCCACGTCTCCACCGCCGGTTTTCGGATGGGGAGGTGCACATCTGAGAACCTCATTGCTGCCAGTCTGGTTGCAGGGGTGATGACTAGCTGCAGAAAAAAAAAGTGGGCACACAAAAAGTGCCAGAGCTTGTCACACAAGGCAAGGGGAAGGATTATTTCAGGAGTGTGACGCTCTGTGTCAGACGTGTGCATGTGTGTTGCGGGGTCCTGTAGCCTACGTACATCTTTCTCCCCGTGCACAGGCATTTCTCTGGGCAGGAGCGTTCGCGTAAGAGCTCAGCTCAGTTAGGCAGAGAAAACAAGGCTTGACCCCGT